TTAATGGTTTTGGTTCTGTCATAAAATATATTTCAGGTAATTTAGATCAATCTGATCTAGACGAAATAATGGAAAATATGAAAATTCTGAAGGAAACTCAAGATAATTTATCATTACAAAATTCCCGAACCGTCTCTGTAGCTAAACAATTACAAGACAGGTTTGAAAATAAAATAACACTCTAATTATAAAGAAACATTTAAGAGATAATTTGGATAACATTAACAAACTGCATAGTCAATACGCTAATTCTCAGTATGTCTTGAATGAAATAATAATTATTCAAATGTCCTCTAATTGTTTATCCCAATTACTGTTAACCATTAACCTGAGTACAAATCAGGGCATAAATCTCTTACAGCTGAGTAGGACTGAAATTAATTATATCCATTCGTTATTAATTGATCTATTTCACAAAAATGAACTTCTCCCACTTGATAAACTGCATAATTTTGAATTTTTCAAATTATGTGAATTGAGTCCGCGAAGAAGAAATCATTTTTGTTCTTCACATACCAACAGTAACTGGAAACTTTATACAGGGAGACAGGAAATTAGTGGCGGAGCCGGTAAGGGGTGATAGTATAGGGTAATTAGAGCCGATATTACTATGAGACCTACTATCCCACAGTAACCCATTCCAAGATATTCGTACTTGAAGAATTTTACCAAAAAGTTCTACTTAAAATTTTAAAATATATGTAGGTATACATCTTAAAAAATGGCTTTTAGGCCATTTTTTTTTTGGTTTTACAACAAAGATATTCTGAATAAGGAATACTAATAGTTTAATCCTGGTAATTGTCGTAATTTTCTGCGATAATTGCTAAATAAAAACTAAAATGAAAAAAAAACACGGTGACGGCTTCTAAAACGTGGATTTACTCAAAAAAGTAACCTATAATTGTTACGTACAAAATAATTAAAAAACATCTACGTTTCGTTGCCTGTCGAATACGGTATTAAAATCTAAAATCGGTTCAGGGACCATCAAGATAGACGAATAATAAAAATGAAAGAAAAAAGCTGAATGCTGAAAAATCAATTTATTACAAAAAACATTCTTATTCATAATGCGTTTTTAAAATACCCACCCCTATTTCTAATACAAATTCGTGCTCTTCTCAGGACACCCGTTTTCACAACCCTTGAAGCTCCGTTTGTATTTCCTGCGCTGCGTGAATGATTCTGTTGCGCAGGTCTTCAATATTAGGTACAGGGACATCAGTACCATACACGATACTTTTCATTCGACCCCACACGAAGAAGTCCATGGGTGTGATGTCGGGACTACGTGCCGGCCATGGTATTGGACCACCTCTACCTATCCAGCGGTTGGGGAAGTGTTCGTCAAGCCAATTTCTCACAGCTAGCCTGAAATGCGCTGGACAGCCATCATGCATGAAGGTCATGTGTTGTCTTGTTTGTAGCGGCACGTCTTCCAACAATTCATGCAAAACATTCCTGAGAAAATCTTCATATGCCTCCCCATTAAGGTTTTGAGGCAGGAAATGAGGTCCAATCAAACGCTTATTGATTATTACCATCCACACATTAAGGTTAAATCTTCTTTGTGAACCTTTTGGTCTTTTTAGGTGTGGATTACCCATGACACGTTCTCTCCAGTGGTGAACATTATGGTAATTGGTAATACCGTCCTTATCAAACTTGGACTCAGTCCATAAGATCGTTCTCAGATAATTCCTATCTTCAACATCCGCATTGATTAAAAATCTGCAAAACTGGATTCGTCTCAAAGGATCCCCTTCTTCTATTACCTGAACAGGTGTGTAATGGTAAGGGTGGAGCCCACTTTCACGAAGAAGGTACCACACCTTCCATTGGGAGAGTCCCATAAGCCGAGCTACCATTCGTGTAGATAGAGTAGAGTCCCTTGCGAAGTAATTTAAAATTTCCTCTTCGTCTCCCGCGGCATACAGTCGAGGTCTACCTGCGTCACCTGAAAACAAAAAAGATTTGTTTTTTTTATAAGTTTTAGTACAATGACTTTTGTTGATTTTTATGGTGCTAATTACGTAGCCGTTAATATTAGTCAAACTAAAAGCAATTATAGCATCAAAGACTCGCTGTCCGCGTGGTAATAAAATGTGGAAACAGGACGCCCTCTGTTGGGTTGTCTGTCGCACTTACGGGCCTTACGGCAGGTAGTGAGGCACCACTGACGTATCGGTGTTTATCTTATGAAAAAAGCTAGCCTATCGAGCCCTGGCATACCGATAATTTATGGGTTTAACTTTAGTAAGTTGTATGGACAGCGACATTTGTTTTGCAATTCCACAATTAAAATGGTACGTGCAAGGATAACAAAAAACTGATAGGAAAGGTTTAGTTTTATTTAGTTTGAAACGGATTTGATAAAGAATTTTGTGTAAACAAAATAATAATAATAATGGCTGTTCCTTACCTTGGTATCTTTGGACGGTTCCTCGCTCTCGCACTCGACGGAATGTTCGGGAGAATACGCGTGCATCAGGCAATCGACGATAAGGGAATATTTCGGCATATTCTCGACGAGCTTGTTCTGCGTTTCCTCTGGCAGCTCCGTAATAAAAAATAATATCGGCGTATTCGTCGATACTGAACGATCGTCCTCTTTCTCTAACAGACATTATTAGTCAGCTCGTCCACACTCAGTCACTCAGCAGCCAAATCGTAAGGAAAAATCAAAGTCGTGAAAATATCAAATCTGAGAGCAAGCGAGCACATCCGAACACAGTAAACCGTAAGAGCGGACTGAAAGGAGGAAGGGATTAGCTCGACTGCCCAACGACCGCGTCCTTTTTTGTTCTCGGATAGGCTCTATGGGTTTTTCCATTGATCATATCTTCATCGTTTCTAAACCGATTTTGGATTTTAATAGCTCATTCGAAAGGCAACGAAACGTAGATGTTTTTTCATTATTTTGTACGTAAAAATTATAGGTGACTATTTTGAGTAAATCCACGTTTTAGAAGCCGTCACCGTGTTTTTTTTTCATTTTAGTTTTTATTTAGCAATTATCGCAGAAAATTACGACAATTACCAGGATTAAACTATTAGTATTCCTTATTCAGAATATCTTTGTTGTAAAACAAAAAAAAAATTGGCCGAAAAGCCATTTTTTAAGATGTATACCTATTTTAAAATTATAAGTAGAACTTTTTGGGAAAATTCTTCAAGTACGAATATCTTGGAATGGGTTACTGTGGGATAGTAGGTCTCATAGTAATATCGGCTCTAATTACCCTATACTATCACCCCTTACCGGCTCCGCCACTAATTTTCTGTCACCCTGTATATTCCAATATGTACCCTATTATATACCAAAATAATATTCTGGTATTGAAACATAAAAGTATTATCGAAAATGAAACTATACATTTTTGTGATGAATGCAAATGATTGAGTAATAAGTATTTTTATTCTACTATACTAATCCATTCCAGTTGTAACTTACTTAGAGTTTGAAAATTGTACATTCATGGCAAAAGGTCCGTTTTCAGAAGTAATTTAATTAAAACATGATAATTATTTGGTGAATACTAACAAGAATATTCCAGTATATGAAGATTGTACCAAAGAAAGAAACGAAGTTGATTCCTCTTTTATTATCAGCTTAAACTGTAAAACATTTATTGATCATACTGAGTATCTGAAGACTTCTGATACCTAACATACCTAACATTATGGTGAACTATGATAAGAATATGTTATTTGAAAATACTAATGTAAAGGGTTATACGGATATCCAATTGAATAATGTTTTATTACATGATAAATTAAAAAACTTAGATTTTTCACACAGAACGTCAACGTTTAGCATTGTAACTATTTTATGTACTTTAACATTTATTGTAATTCTACTTTGTTTAAAAAAGCAACTGCTCTCTCTTTTGAAGCAAGAAGAACCAAAAAATTAATCAGTCAAAAATGACATTGAACTTAACGAAATTTTTCCTTTGAACCAGGAGGTTCAATCTTCTTGAAGAGGGAGGAATTACGGCACTGCTATGATGATGATCTCATATGTAGAGTTGCTTGCGTTTGCACTTTTCGATTCCTTTGTTCTAGCCTAGGTTATAAGTAAGAGATGCATGTAAAACAATTTGACCAGTACTCATTCTTCTTCTGTTGAATTAAGTCGCTTTTTTAAAAAGTCGTTCGTTGTTTGCACATTCATAATTTGTACAAGCAGATTAAAATCGGTATCATATATACAGACAAATAAAAATATCACATATTCAAGAATTCCCGTATATCATAGAATGCGTATTCTTCAAAATACATATACATTTCTCTATCCTGTATCTATTATCCTCTTTAAGCTTGGATCTAACTTATTATATAACTTAGTTGCCACATATTTTGAGACTTTTCAAAAAATGACAAATTGTGAGTAGTCAAAACTAGGGTGTCTCAGTTTATAATTTCATAACTGTGTAAATCAGCATTTGTAATAAACTCATTTTAATTTTGTTTTGCATGTGTTATCAGTTCATTCATATAAATTGATGCTAGATTAATTTCTCCTGTTTAAATCAAGATCTGCATGACTCTCTAGACGATAAACCAAACATGTTCTTAATTCCTGTTAATATTTTTTTATACTTGAGCGATATAAAATTTCGAGTATTTATAAATAAAAAATAGAATATGTGCTAAATTTAAAATGTCGAAACGCAAGGCTATTCGTGTCGTCACTACTTGCTACTTGTGACCAGTCAATCCTTTGTGGAGTGGTCAGTCCGATTTAAAATGGCATGCGTTTGTTTTCACTGTCATTGATTGACAACCTTTCAGTTTGAGGAACCAGTTTTTAAATGTAATTTGTAGTATTAAACATTACCTATAAATACTTTATAATCACATGGTATGTCAAAAACTCGGTAGTAACCTAATCAAAATACAGTAGAATGACAAATCATGAGTTATGACATCACTGCGACACGCGCCAAAAATGCGGCGCTTAAATCGTCATTAAATATAGACATTTCCGTGGATGAAATACGTGTATTACGGTATTGTATTAATGTAAATAATCGAGAGGGAATACAAAAAAATGCATGCATATATTATCGCTTGTTTAATTTATTAAGTTTATTCATTTACAGACAAGAAAGGTACTCCACAATCATCTAATAATGGGAGTGAGTCTACCGATTATGAAAGTTGCGTTGAGGAAGTTACGGTTGAACAAAAATGGATGGATGAAAACAAAGAGGTCGAGATTGAACAGAGGTGGTTGAGCAGTGATAACGATGTTGTCAGTCTGGTGGAGTCTCTTTCAATAAAAAATGCTACGGATATTTCACAGGTAAGTGTAGCTACGTTTCAGTAGGTATATACATGACATAAAAAATACAGTACCGACTAGAAGTGCTGTAATTTTGAGCATACTGTTACAAGTTTTAGGTCTGCTGATCAATAGAAAGTGATTGAAATTTTAACTCGAAATTTTGCAAAATAGCAGGGATATCCGACCTTAATGTTAATAATGTGTTGAAGCTCCTACGGTCTCTACACATTCGTTAAGTCGTCGCGGCATTGATTGAATTAGGTGATTGATGTCTTCTTGGTGCATTGTATAATTTGGTTTCGTAGAGCCTCCAATGTTTGTGGAGGATGCGGTGAATTTTACAACCTTCTTCCCATCATGTTCCATACATGTAGCCTTCTGCCGTAAGCAATGGCACTCCATGCCATAACATCCACAGTGCGATGAATATGCCGTTCGATGTAATATTGGACGCTCCGTCGTTCACTTAGTCTCCTCCTTACTCTTGCACGGCCATAATTTGTGAACAAACAGAATCTGAACTCATCGCTGAACATAATAATAAGAGCGCTTAATAATAGCGATTATTTGCAGAGCAAAAAAATACAAAGAGAAAAAATTAAAAATGAATAAACAACATGAATTCCCTGCAAAAGGGACTAGTAAACAGACGAGCTGATCAAAGTATTAGCCCAACAAACAAAATTACAACAGAGGAGTTCTTAACTAAATTATATAAGTTAATATTAATAAATAATAATTACAAACGTCAAAAAAATATATGTATATAAATAAATTATATAAAAAATATAATTTAACGAAAAAGGTCAAATCATTTTAGGCAGATTTAATAAAAAAAAAACATTTAAAATATAAAAGGTAAAGGAACAATATAAACACTACAATTTATCTAATAGAAATTTTCTGTAAGTTCTTTTGAAAGCTGACACAGACATAGACTTAAGGTTTGTGGGGACGTGATTGTACAGGCGGTAGATAAAATGAGAAAAACATCTGGTAAACATAGATGTACGATGACGTGGTTGGGAAATCAGCTTCCGATACCGAACAGTGATATTGTGAACATCACTTCGAAATGTAATCTTATTATATAAATAAGGCGGAGTTTTATAGAGAATAATTTTATGAAACAAAACTGCAGAGTGCAGATTTCTCCAAGCTTCCATATTTAGCCATCCTATTACAGGACTTATAAGAAATATGATCAAATGACCGAGTTCCATTCCATATTCCATTCAAGTTTCTTTCTAGCCCATACCAATCGATGCCGACGATGCTGTGAGTTCAGAGGTAGTACAATATGGGGACGGTTTGAAAACAGTCCAAAAGACATTATTATTATTATTATTATTATTATTATTATTATGCCTTTATGAAAGTATTGTCATATACAATACATAAACGGCTGAAAATAGGGCGAAGTCAGGCGACAGCTACTCTACTTAACCCTAACTTAAGACAACAAATAATATGGGGAACATAAATATGCAAATAGAACAATATGGATGTGACATAAAGGTAAAGTATTATTAAGAATGGATGATTAGCAGAAACACTACCAACTTTATAATTAATAATTATAAAACAAACAATTCAATATCAGTACATGACTATATCTAATACGAACTAGCCGTTTGAGAATTTAAAAGTAAGGATTTCACGCAAACTTTAAACTACTGAACTGAATATGTTTTGAAAGCATCATCAATATCATTATAAATAGTGACCGCATTGTATGTAAGAGACTTCCTGAATTTTGTTAAGCGAAATTTCGGATGAGACAGTGTATTAATGTATCTGATATTGAAATCATGCAAATCACGCCTAAAAACTAATTTTCTTCTTAAATAAGGAGGAAATGAGGATAGTAATACCCGGTGAACTAAGACAGATGTATAGTATCTATAGATATTTTCTATTTTCAACCAAGTCAATTCATTAATTTTGCTTGAAACTCGATCATATTTCCTGAGCTTAAAAACAAATCCTAAATAACAATTCTGAATTTTTTGCAACCTGTACTTTAAAACTTGCGTAAGAAATGAGTAATAAAGCGTGACAGCATGATTCAGAATAGGAAATACCAAGTACTCACAAAGCATTTTTCGCAATCTAAAATTTAATATTCCTCCATTTCGATAGAGGAGCCTAAGTACAAGATACGTCTTTTTGACTAAAAGTGGATCAAAAGATAAAAATAACTGAGTGTCATCAGCGTACCCTGGAATATTACAACTATTGACAGCTTTGAATATATCTGAAGTATATATACTAAGTGACATATAAATCCGAACACCCAGTTTAAATGGTTTTATTTTAATAAAATTTTGTATAAGTACTTAATGAAGCATAATAGGTAAATGATAAAAATTTCAAAATGATTGCACTGCTTTAAAGCCCTTTGACCTTTAATAATGTGTGGATGCACCCTGATGTGCTACGCATTCTCCAACGCGCCTAGGCATGCTTCTGATCAGGTGGTCAATGTCCTCCTGTGGTATCTCATTCCAGGCAACCACCAACTCCTCTCGAAGTGCTTCTAGAGTCTGAGGAGGACGTTGCAAATTGAGCAATCTCCTACCCATCATATCCCACACGTGCTCAATTGGGGATAAGTCGGGAGATCTTGGTGGCCATGGTAACAATGTGACATCATTATGTTGAAAGAAGTCTATTGTGACTCTTGCAACATGTGGTCGGGCATTATCTTGTTGGAAAGTTGGATCTGCCAGGGTGTCAAGATAGGGTAAAAGATGGGGTTCTAGAACTTCGTGCATATAACGCTGCGCGTTCATGTTACCTCTGATGAAGATTAAAGGTAACCTGGAACCATAAGCTATAGCACCCCAAACCATAACTCCAACAGTGTGATGAACATGTCTTTCAACAAAAAACTGTGGATTCCTCCTTTCACCGCGTCGCCTTCTAACCCTGGCACGACCATCGTGCATGCCTAAACAAAATCGAGACTCGTCACTAAAGACAATACTGTTTCATTCCTGATCCCAGAGTGACCGTTGTCTGCACCACTCAAGGCGATTACGTCGGTGTTCTCGAGTTAAAGGGAGGACCCAGTGTGGCCGGTATGAAAACAAGCCAAAACTTCTCATTCGTCGGTAAACACTTCGCATGCCAATAGGTCTTCTGTGTTCTGTAAACCATTCATTTGCAATGGACCTGGTAGTGGAGATACGGTCCCTTAAGGCCAATATTCTTAGGCGGCGATCTTCACGGTCTGTTGTTCTACGGCGGCGTCCAGTGCCCCTTGCTCTTTGCGTACGGCCTTCTCGAAGCCATGCCTGACAACACCTAACCACAGTGTCTACACTTCTTTGCACTCTAACTGCAATTGCCCGAAAAGAAAGTCCAGCTTCCCGAAGTCCCACTATACGGCCCCTATCAAACTCACTAATTTGACGAAATCGTACAGGTCTCCGTACTCTAGGCATCGTAACCGATCGTAAAGGATGTCAAGAACCAAAATCCGCCAACGTTGATTCTTTACTGCGACTGAAATATTCATTTTTAGAGCGTTAGTGAATTAAAAAAAGCAATATAAAAACCGGAATGCCCAACTGATAGGGCTGAAAATTTTTTCGCTTGTTATTTACAGTAAGATAAATACATTCACCAACTTTTATTAAAATAAAACCATTTAAACTGGGTGTTCGGATTTATATGTCACTTAGTATATAATGAAAAGTAACGGTGCGAGAATGGAACCTTGTGGAACTCCAGAGGTCACAAGTTGAAAATCAGAATAAGAGGTGTTATCCACCACAACACACTGATGGTACCTATGATGTAGATAAGAATCAAAAAGTTTAAGCCCCATATCATCTATGCTATAATATCGCAACTTTGCAAGTAGAAGAGAATGATCAATAGTATCGAAAGCTTTCGAAAAGTCAAGTAGTACAAGAGCAGTTGCAAGTCCAGAATCAAGAGACCTAATAATGTGATCAGAAATGTTTAAAAGCAATGATGTCGTACTGAAACCCTTTCTGAAACCAGACTGAGATTCAGGAGTGATTTGGTTGGCGATAACATACTCATATAATTCGTCATAAATGTGTTTTTCAAAAACTTTCGATAACGCAGGAAGAATACTTATGGGTCTCAGATCATTAAAGACACGAGGTGAACTTTTTTTGGGCAAAGGCTTAATCAGACCATGCTTCCATAAGGATGGGAAATAACCTACTTCTATACAACAATTTATGATGTGTGTTATATACGGAGCAATTTCAGTAATACAATACTGTAACATTTTAGCACTAATTTCATCTGCACCATATGCGGACGATTTCAAATCAAAAACAATTCTTTTAGTATCGTCAATAGTTGTTAGCTTTATCGTAAAAGAGATGTCAGTAGAAAAATTAGATCCTACATAAAAATATGTTGCTTCTGGACAGTTGTTTAATGGACTGAATTCTGAAAGAAAGTGACTGTTAGTCTCGAAGGGGTTCTTAAGATGAGGTGGTATAGCCGTATTATTTTTCTTTTTAATGTTGAGCCGGTTGATTTGTTGCCACATAATTTAATTTTGATGCTAAAAAAGCTGCTTTTTCATTTTTGATTGCTGAACATGTAGTGTTACGTAGTTCTTTATAGAAAGCAAAATCCGACGCGTTTCTAGACTCTTTATACTTACGTAAAGCATCATCTCTCTCTTTCATCATCAACCTAATGTTGGGAGTTATCTATGGAGCAAAAGGTTTAGTGATTCGAGATACTTTTACAGGTGCATGTTTATCAAAAAGGCCGATTATGTAGCTGTTTAAAAGTGATACCTTATCATCAATATTATTTGTATACAAGATATTATCCCAATGAACATTTAACAATTCAGCATAAAAATCATCATACACGAAAAACTTAAAATCGCTATATGTCAAGAAAAATGGCTCAGGGCGAGGAGTAGAATACAAAAACTCACAGAAAATTGCTTTCTGATCAGAAATATGAAAACTGTCAATAACGCCAGACGTAATAATGCTATCTCGAGAATTGGTAAAAATCAAATCAATGATGGCTTGTGACAATGGAGTTATTCTAGTGGGCTCAGTGATAAGTTGTTGAAAATCATATGAAATGAAGCAGCGACTGACTTCGTTATCATAGGTTTGGTCAACATTGAAATCACCAACAACAACAATCTGCTCAAATTGAGGGGTAATATAGGAGAGAGCATTGTCCAAGAAATTCAAAAAGTCATTACAGATTACAGTTGCTTGATGGAGGTCTATAAATACACCACGCCAATTACTACTGGTTCTTTATCAGCCCTCAAGGATATCCAAATTTGCTCAATTCACAAGTATTTTCAAAATGCTCTAGGATCTGCTTACAGACCATGGTATTCCTGTAATAAACTGCAATACCTCCACCTCTAGTTAAACGATCGTTTCTTAATAACGAAAAACCAGGGTATACATACTAATTCACTAGGAATATCACCATTAAGCCAAGTTTCTGAGGCACACATAACATCAAATTTGTTTTCCATAACAAGCTGAGCAAATTCGTCAAATTGTGTGAAAAGAGATCTGCAGTCCAGATGACCAATCTTTAAGTTTTTATTCTTCATACTGAATTCTAGATTTAAGTTGGTCTAATTTAGTAAGGTAAGAAGAACACACAAACTGTGAGCAGAATGATTTATCGGCTTATTCATTTTGTACTTGCTATTTGAATCTTTACAATTAACGCCGAGAAGATCAGGTGAATGGCAGTCCCTCTTTTCATGATTGCCAGAGCAATTAGGGCAAATGACAGATGAACTTTTACAGTCCTTTTTATAGTGACCAAATTTGCAGCATTTAAAACACTTAACAATATTGAAATGTTCTTTAACGCTGCATTTTTTCCATCCAACGTACAAAAAACCCTTTGCCATAACAATTTTGAACACAGAAGGAGAAACTTCCAAAACCAGATTAATACTCTCTTTATAGCTAAGTTTTGTAATAACACAAACATCACTTGAAGGAACATCAAGGTCATTGTCTTCAATAATGAACTCGGGAAACTGAGGATTTTCATGAACAATAATCCTAGGGCGTAGCTTTTTGGGCTCGTAGATGCTGTAGTTATTACCAGCTTCCCGCTTAAGGCCATCTTTCAGATTTTGGAGAGATTTGACGTCAGCGCAATTAATCAATTAACCATACCTGATCAGTTTTGTACTAGAAACATTTGCTTTCATAGTACTTGGCCTGAATTTGGATTTCAACTCTCGTTCTAATTCTGCGTTACCCTTATTTTGGTCAGTTGATTTAATAACCAAACCAGCTGTTGTGTGTACATTTTACTGCTGAAGAGTAAGACACTATCGAAGAGGAATGCGGCGAAGAATGGGCAGCAGCAGAGGACGACACACTGCCCTCATTGTTATTGCGCTTCCGACCGCATCAAATCACTGGTTCGCAACTACCCTTTGTTGTGGAAAATCAATCTCTAAGTGCTAGTTGCCTCAAATAACGTCGCTCTGTCCAGTACCTCTAACTCGTCGATTTCGGCCTTTTTGGAACCACTCTCGATAACGTCTCATTACAGTAGCTTCGTTTCGATTCACCCGATTAGCGATTTCTCTAAAAGAAAATCCGGCTTCACGTAACCCGATTATCTGGCACCTCTTAAAGTCGGAAAGTTACGTGAAATTACCGCGTCTGCGAACTCTCGGCATGATAATGCAATGAAACAAATTACACAGAAAAATCATTGAACATTAAGTAAACATGTTCATATTGTTCGGATCCCGATATGACAAAAAAGCCTTTACAAAATAAGTACGGCTCGGAATGCCTTCAACATTTTATCAGTGTATACTTCCATGATAGCAAATATGTTTTCAAGTTTTTATCAAAATTCAACAAATAATTCTGGATGTTGTATTTTATATGTCGCTTAGTATATTTTTGCTCATTCCCCGTAATGTTTATTCGATTCTGTTTGTGTAGACAGCAACATCGGCAACAAGGCGTGATTGTGCCACCCAGACAAGCGACAATGCAACTGGGCCTCCCGTTCTATATCAGGGTCCTTCCATGCCTCCCAGTTTACCGTATGGGGGTTATCCACCACCACATCATTATGGAGGTTATCCACCTTGGTCGACTGCTTCAGATTGTGCTCCATTTGAGTAAGTGAAAAACTCAAAAATAAATAAACAAATAGCCTTTATTGCCTTACAGTTAAAATATACAATTTACAAGTAAAATCTAAACTAAAGATAAACCGAAGAATAGATAATTAAAAAAGCGATCTAGCCAAGCAAAGGGAAAAAGCAATTACACATATTTAAGTGAGAAATTCATTAATTACATTTGGTATGATAATATTAACACTTACAGTGGTATCTTCAAAAATAAGTTTGCATGTGCTTTGTCACAATAAAACGTCTTAACATTACTAATTTTAAAAGGCTCTAAACATTTTAGATAATATGCGGAGTTACTCGATAGACCCTACAGAAACCTGATGGGGAATGACTATCGGCACTTTTTTAGATCTCAACATATTTACATAGAACAAAATCGTCCATGGGCCTACAGTTTATCCACAATTTCTAAGATTGTAGGTTTGGTACATATGTAATAGTTGTTTGATATTTCGAGTCGAATCTCACCCAGTCTCACGTGGGGGCGTCTAAGTAAATATCACGTATTTTTCGCTTAGGTGAACAATTTCAAGATAATTGGGTTAAAGGAAAACATGCTTCTTGATTAAAATTGACAAAATCTGACTCATTAATATTTATCATACTCAAATACTGCTAACTAATCTTGAATAAAAATAATGAGGCTAATTATATTTTTTAAATTAAATCCAACACATTTACATTAAACATAGATATCTTTAAACGCCCTCTTATTTGTTTAATAAAATTCGTTAATTTTGTAATAAAAATTTTGGCATATTTTCTATTAAGATTATTTTTTATTTCAATTTGGCGAGATTCACTAACCGCCATTATAAAAGCCAGTTGTCTATATATTACAGTTTCCATAGGTATGGTCCCCGCTATCCAGCACCAGGCTACGGTTATCCTGCCAATCCTCCCATACAACCTTGGATGATGCAAATGCCACGGAGCAGCATGCAATTCAGATCACAGGTAAGCTGTACCTCAGTAGTCTCAATTTAATAATAGCTGAAAAGTTTATGCAAAAAAGTCCTCCCCTCAGTGACAAGACGCCTATATGTGGTGGGCGACATTTGTCCGTTTCATCGAAGCGAACTGTCATTTGTACATCCTTAGAAAATTAGTTTCTCTCTGCTAAAGTAGATGGCAACACACACACTATAAGAGGGGCTGTTGGTCGCGGCGGAGATCTCTGACGTGCTTACGCAGAATATACATTGAACGCAGTGTTATCAGGTCTACCGATTTTTCTGTAAATTCACCAATTTTAGCAGCTTTAGAATTATCGTTTTTTTTCATATTGTTTTCCGGTGTTCAAGATGGAGTACTTCCATATTTTTCAATTATTAACTCGCTTATATCTGAAAAAGTATCAACCTAATAGAAAAGTTAATAAGAATCTTTTTTGTTCGTACTGCCGAAAAAAAACTAAAAAAACTTGGTATGGAGATAAAAATAATTTAAGGAATTTGAAAAAATTGTTTAAATAATTTTATACGCAATTTTGGGCCGGGTAACATGCAGGTTCGTTGAAAAGGGTTCTTTGTGAATCAGTTCGAATGTAAAAACAGAATAAGAATATTTTTTCTATTTTTTATCATTTTTGTTTTCAGTACAACCCGGGCATGGGACCAGCATATCACCAACAAGCTCAATATCAGACGCAAGGATCATGCCAGCATCAGTACCCGCCTAAAGCCTCCCTCCGACCTCCAAGGTTTTATCCGCCCCGGACTCTCCCAAGTAAACCATCTTCCGTTGATACCTCAACGCCGACAATTACACCGTGTCCACCACCTTCAGCGAGTGACTTTTAAGGAGTTTACAACCTCGATAACCCGCTAGTGCTTCCTTCGATAAGCGAGTAGAATAGGGTTTTCTTTTGGCGAAACTGGTGTTGCACTGTTATGTTTATGTTCTTTTGGTGCGTGCTTTGAATTAGTTAATGCAAAAATATCGCACGAACTGGATGAGCTCGTTCTAGTGTACTCAACTGGCAACAGTGTCTCATTTCTCAGCTTTGACTTGTGGCTCTGCGAGCAACCATGCTTTGCAGCAAGTTTTCTCGTGTTTTTTTTCTCATGGAGCCTGTATACCAAGAAAAACTACGGCCAATGCTGCTCGTGTTGTAAAAATGACCTCAAAACTTGACGCCTGGAGTACTTGTGGTGCTTTGACAGTGCTGCCATGTTGTAGGATCTTTCCCTAATCTTGGGGAATTTTTACTTGGTGATTTTTTTGGGAATATAATGATCTGGGGGAGATCACACGTTTCGCGCATAGAAGCATCCCCTCGCTCTTTGAACCGAACCTACCCCTTTCCATAATTAACTGTGATTAGTGGATTTTTTTTTTGAGAAATTCTATCCAACGCATCTGGCTACTCTGTGCTTTGACAGATTCGCCATATGAACACTTTTCTCCTGATATATAGTCTCCATAGCTTTTTCTTGGAACCTATATACCAGGAGAAAGGTCGAAATGAGAAAAAAAGACCCCAAAACTTGACGCCTGACTGAGAGCGCCGTGATCGAAGCGAATACCAGCTACTGGTTTTTAAACCTAATTTTTACGTATGAATAATAATACTAGAGCATATTAAAGCAGCATTTCCTTTGTCAGGTTATCTAGTCTACTATTATTTATCATTAAAGTTTTATCAAAAAACAGAAACATGTAGATTCAAGCAGGCGGACCTTAGACTCTTAGGAAAGTGTCCCCCAAATCAAACGTAAATAATGGAAAGGGGTATGTTTGGTTCAAAAAGCGGGGAGGGGGGGATTTCAACCAGAACATTACATCCCCAAAAAATTCTCCATGTGAAAATCTTCCAAATTTGGGGAAAATCCTCCAACATGGCAACCCTGTCAAAACACCACTGCGCTCCAGGCGTCATGTTTCGCGGTCGTTTTCATAGCACGGACAGCATTACCGTAGTTTCTCCCGGTATATCGACTCCATGGAGAAAGAAATGAAAGAATACTTTTCATTGGAAGATGACGGCACGAGACCCCAAATGACACGTTTTATGTTCTTTTGGGGAAAAATTTAGGATAAACAGGGCATAGGTTTCAAACGCGGAAAAGGCACCATCTTTAGCAGAAAGAGGTTAGAAGTACTTACAAGTTCGCGGATCGAGTGTTTGTGTTCACGTGGGAATAAATGAGATTTGGATTGAGTTTTTTTGCGTTGTATGGTTGCTGTTTAGGTCAAAAGTGTTAGGGCAATGAGACAGATAGTTGGAGTGTGAGTTTGAATTTATCGTATATGCATTACAAATGTTTTCATAAAAGTTCTCTACAATATTATTTTCTATAAACAATACGAAACAATGAAATTCAAGTTAGTTTATTTGACATGTTTGGTTGCCGCATGCTACAATTTGAACGTATGTCCCAAATGTTTTAACCTTTGAGATACAGATTTTTTTTCTGAAAACTTTACCGCCCTGTATCTCAAAGATCAAGACGTTTAGGACATACGGTCATGTGATTTTTTTCTCAAAAGGGGCCTACGATTCACTTTCTTAAATATTACCATGTGATTAAGGAACTACCGGTATTTAAAAAAATATTTCGATCGTATTTTAATATTGACGACTAGGTTGATGAAGCTTAATTATAAAAAAGATTGTCAGTTTATATATATCAAGACTGCATCTAAAGAACTAATCTCAGTTTGACAATATGTGCATTATTTTGTACAATGACTTATAGAGATTCTCTCTCCTGTTGTGATGGAATTATTTATGTGCCTTAATGCAATATTCTGTAGGAAAGCTCTGTTTTTGTTATTAAAGCAGTAGTTGACGGTTGACTGCAGCTTGAATGATACACAAAATAGAGTTTGATTACTGCAAACATAGAAGCCAAATTTGTGTTTTTATACATTAGAAATGTGAGTTTCCATGTTTATTTATAATATAACAATTGTTTTCTTTATGTTTCTTTTGTGTCTATTTTGTATATTATTACTGAAAACTGCTAGTTATTTATTTTCGATCTGTATGTTCCGTATCGGTACATTATTTTAAGCGTTTCTTTTGCATGTTTAAATGCAGTTTTTTTTGTATGATGTAAATAAGAGCAATATATTGTTTTGTGAAATGGTTCTTTTATATTTGGAAAACGGCATCCTATTGCGCACCAAGTCAATGATTTTCATAATATAAAAGTCGCGGAAAAGTCGGGGAAGCAAAAGGTGGAAAAGGATTCCTTGGAATTGCCGGGATGAAACAGTCTGAAAAAAATCGAGTTTCTTTGCATAGATGATTTCAGGAGATTAAAAAAATACTCTGCCCGCCAAACTTGGGTCGAATACTGAAATCCGGTATTCTAATATGAATCGTGAACACTATTATATTATATCATATATCAAGGGCAGATTCAGGATTTCGTCTGTCTAGGGGGGGGGGGGGGGCGCAGACGATATTTGGGGCTGATCATTTTTTAACCTCCGTGGAACTTCTAGAATTTATCCTATTATTTCTCCATTGTGTTCTATCTGGTCAAGGCCAGCTTGAAAAAAAAACATGGAAATTGCTCAGAAAGCCAATATTTTATTATATGAGAACAAAATAAGTACGTGGCATTTGTAATTAACTAATGTAATAATATTAAAGATTCAAACATAAAAAACTTCATTGCTCTGTTAACCGACAATAAATAAATAAAACATTCAGAGGGACCCCGAGACATATCCCAGTCCATTCCACACAAAACAATGTCTTTGATTGCGAAAACGAACATGAGACCAAAAAATTCACATTATCGTATGGACGCTAGACAAGACAAAGAAGAATGTCTGTAGACCATCTATAGATCGTGTCTTGAGACCGTCTCCAGACTGCCTATACACAAATTGATCAACGGGGTCCACTAGTATGTAACAAGCTTAAGGATTAAGACTCTGAACTGCCCATTACACAAATCAAGTAAACGGTGCAAATACTGACACAATCAAGCACTTCTATTATATCAGCAGTATGAGACATGTATTCCTCCATTCCGACGTGGATAAGTTCGGTTATCGAAGAACAGGCACAGCCGACGCATCCGCGTCACTTAAACAGACATTTCTCCAAGGAAAGGTAGAGACGAAGTCTCTGAGCCCCTCCCAGACGGCATGTCCGTAATGCCAAATTTTGCAGCCTGTGAGAGTTTCTGCTAAAACAGCGGATTTTGACCACAGCACAGTCGTCTGAGTTACCCAGGGAAGACAGGACAGCAGAGCTGTAAGGGACAGGATGCGTTGTCAGAAAGAGATCCAGCAAGATACCAGCATGTGACGAGACGCGGGGCAACAAAGTAGGGCCCGTCACCAGCTGGACCAGCCCTTGAGTAAGAGCGAACGCTTTAACTGCACGACCTGCTGCATCGGTCTTGTTTGAGCCCAACCAAAGCAAATTATGGTCATTGAAATCACCGAGGAGAACTGCCTCTGAAGCGGAGTGATTGATGTTCAGGAAGTCAATCTTTACGGCGAGGTATTCAAGAAGCTGATCCCAGTTATGGTCCGAGGGGAGCGATAAACGCAGCAAATAAATTTAGTTGAGGCGAAGCCACAGAATGTCCTTCCGGTCTGATTCCAGAGAAACATCTCTGCAGCAGGAAAGACTGCTGCGGACAAAGGCTACAACTCCCCCGTTCTTTCTCAGATTGAAGTGCACCTCGTAATTTGGTAAGCTAAGCTAAGATGCTTAATCGGTGCGGAGTCTGAGATTTTTGTCTTGCCAAGAAAAGCATGGCGGGACGATTGGATTGCAAGTAGTGATGAACACCATCAATGTTCCTGTTAATCCAGCAGATTTTCGTGAAACAAATTTTATCTTCGATGTTGTTCCCTCGAGTCCAGCCTCCACTCGGACATTCTGAGAGTGGAGTGAGCTCACATCCGGAATGGTTAGTACTCGAGGGATCCATCATCATTAATTTCTTTGTTCTGGAAGATAACCGACTGCACAGCTTAGGTGTAGAAACATGCGGACATTTATAAGACACCCTGGGAAAAGCTATAGGGTGGTACCGCCTCGGTCGACTGGTCCTTGTCTACCACCTTTTTGTGTGTTAATATTAAATAGACTTAAAGTGGCCCGTTGGCACACTTGTACCGCCACCCGGCAATCGGTACTGAGGTATTCCTTAACCATCGACGAACGACAGCGTGGACTTCCGTTGGAAAAATCTAGTGAGGTTGGAGCTTCTGTTGGGTCACCTGGTCATCTGCGAATGAAACCGCCTCAATTTGATGGTATAACATCTTGGAATGTCTACCGACGTCAGTTTGAGGCAGCCGCGAATGCAAATGGTTGGTCATCGACCAAAAAGGCAACTGCACTCACTTTGGCCTTACGAGGAGATGCTGCAGCTATTCTTCAAAGAATATCACCCGAAGAGCAAGAGGCCTACGAACAACTAGTAGGACATTTGGAGTTGCGATATGGTCAGTCATATTTAGGACACGTCTACCATACTCAACTCAAGAATCGGTTCCAGAAGTCAGGCGAGTCCTTGCAGGAGTTCGAAGCGGATATTGCGCGGTTGGTACGATTAGCATATCCCGATGTTCATGAAAGGATAATGGAGCGATTGGCAGTTCAGGCATTCCTGGATGGACTTCGTGATGGTGAAATGAGCCAAGCCTTACTATTGGCACATCCACCTAAGCTAGTAGAAGCGCTAACTTGGGCCCTAGAATTCGAAGCCGCTAAAAACACAAATATATGCCAGGAGGGAGTCCGGCAGATGGTACCAGGAGATAATGAGTTCGAAGAGTCTTGATGGTGAACGACGTCGCCAGTACAGCAAGTTGGAATGTTGGAAATGTGGGAAAATAGGACACGTTAGGAGACGCTGCTTAGCGGATGGTAAGCATTACCAGCGGGCAGAGGAGAAAGATGCCCAAGTATTGAGAACCACTATCATTAGTGATACTTGGCAAAATGAAGACCTCATTAAAGATCAAGAGAGCGACCCCGATTTCCAAATAATTCTAAACTGGATTAAAGAAAAACGGAAGCCAGCCTGGGAAGAAGTTGCCAAGTATTCCCCTACCATAAAATCATATTGGGCACAATGGAATTCTCTCGTTATGGTCGACGGACTCTTACTGCGTAAAATGGTGGACCAAGATGGCAAAGAGGAAAGAAGACAAATCGTTATTCTTAGATGTCGGATCCCGGAGCTGCTAGAAGAAATCCATTCCGGTGTGTTATGAGGTCATCTCGGAGCTTAAAAACCGTGGGCAAAGTGAGGGAAAGATTTTACTTTGTCAATAGCAAAGAGGACGTGAAAGACTGGTGCAGGAAATGCGTTGTGTGTGCGGCAAGTAATGGACCGCAAAGGAAACCAAAAGCTTCGATGCGCCAATACAACGTGGGGAGCCCCTTTGAAAGGATTGCTATTGATGTGGCGGGACCCTTTCCAGAAAGAGAGGCTGGAAATAAATACATCGTTGTGGTAATGGATTACTTCAGCAAGTGGGTTGAGGCACACGCTCTGCCAAATCAGGAAGCCTCTTCGGTAGCCGATGCTTTAGTAAAGGAATGGATCTGTCGATTTGGTGTACCTTTAGAGTTGCATTCGGACCAAGGGCGCAAGTTCGAGTCAAATCTGTTCCAAAGTACCTGTCAAATTCTTGGGATTAAGAAGACCAGGACTACACCTTACACCCGCAGTCAGATGGAATGGTGGAGCGCATGAATAGGACCATTAGCCGGTATCTGGCTAAGGTAGTCTCTAGCCATCAAAGAGACGACCCAAAGAGGTATAGCAAAGGTCTTTCTTAGGAAGTTTGGAAGAGTGCACAAGCTACGACAATCTGACCCAGAAGTAGGAGAAGTACTCCAGATAAGTGAAGAGGGTACCAACCGAAAGATCTTCAACCTGGTTACCAAAAAAGCTTCGTATCAGAAACCGAGTTACGAAGATGTTTGGAACGCTTTGTGTTCGCTTAGGCCCGTATCGTCAGTCGTCCCTACAATTGTAGGGCTCGTTTATGGCCTTCTTGATTTCGATAATATTACGTCTTCTTCGTTAACGTACATGTATGTCCTCCTTTTGATTTCCGACATACTGACAGTTCTGGCTTGAGGTTGTTTTGACGTTCAAGACACATGACAGCAGAACCATAATTTATAATTTTCTTGCAAATAATATGGATCGCTCAAAAATACCTCGCTACATTGAACAAATTCCACAGCCTGTGGTATCTTCAAGAAATTGTTGAGTTAGGAAAATTAATGCACATATTAATTTTATAATATTATATTTGTGTGTATGAAAGTCCAGAAGCTTACAACCAAGCTATTCTCTTGGTGGAGGTTGGTAAGTTACAAAACAAATCATTGCATATCCATATTATATACTTATCGCAGTATTTTCAGGTGTGATTCTTCATCACAGGCTTTATGAGAAGTTGGTTCCTCAGTAAAATGCTATGTTTGCTTTGGAAGGATAAGGAGGTGAATGATCTTTCTAAGAAGGAATGTATGCATCCAGGCATAATTGAAGGAATCTTACAGAAACAAAACGTGAATTTGATTTATGTGACTGATATGTGTTACACTGCAATTTGTTAATTAAAGCCTGGCATAAACCTGTATGATCATAGTCATAATGATAAGAATTAACACTTACGAACTTGAAGACAAGCTGTGCTAAGCATGTATAATGTGTGAAGGTTCTGAAATTGAGTCCATGGTAAATTGACAATCATGATTTCAGGATATTAAAAAGAGCATGGGCATGTAGGAGCACCAATTATGAGACATTACAAGGTGTAAATGGGAAAATGGAGTTGCAGCATGAAGTTAAATTCTTCATTACTTTGTACCATCATGGCAGAAAATTCCACAACTAATTACAAGAAAGCTGTGGGAATCAATTCCCTGCTTAAGGAATGTCAAACACTAAATAGGACTGATATTTGAGGTGCTCGCCTTATTTTACAATATTAACCTTGTGGGCATATATATATATATATATATATATATATATACTGATATAAGCATTAAAGGTTTTTTTTTTAATGGGAAGCTGTAATGAAAATGTATCGTATCAAAACTGCAAACTGTCAATTTCAATTATTTGAATGTTCTGTGTATAAATTATGTGTATAAATTGTGGTTTTTAAAAAATACTGTTTATTTATACATAGTGACATTGTGATACTAACGATATTAGGATCATGCAAAGAAACAGTATTTCAATTTCATAAAATTTGCTCAGAAATCGCTGATGATTTTAAGAGCTATTTTTATTTTAAGAGAAATCAGTTGCCAAAATAGGCAAGTGAAATTCGTACGAACGCCACTGGTGCGAATTGAAAGAATGTTGCATTACAAATACCTCTTGATGTACATGTATGCCAAACTTTGATAAAGTATTTAAAGTGGTATTCCAGATCTTTACAAAAAATTTTATTACACTCTGTTTCTCAAAGTGGATTTAGGATATACGTCATATGAAATATTCTTCTTAAAATGGACTCAGTTACCTCCTTAAATATAGACATTCAATTGGAAAACACCCTTTATATTTTATGTAAGTAAATTAAAGATGAATAAAGGTTATTGTGATACACTGTTGTAGTTTTTTATTTTTGATATATTGTTTTTTTGGCTACATACATATTCATAATTAATTGTAACTTTTGGATATAAAGTCATCATTGGATTGGTGATACTTACGTTTTGACATACTACGTATGAGTTCATTAACAATTTCATGCATTATACTTTTCAGATGGCAAGTATTTGTGGAATGAAAATGAAAGCATCATTGGTAAAATCAATATTTATTTAGAAATATAATAGGTTCTTTCAGAAATATATGGAAATACAGATTTCATCAATTTGTAATTCTTCTTTTCTCTTAAAACAAATGTTTCATCATGATGTTAACAATATTATATGCTACTTTCAAAATTAGAAGCTCTACAAACAAAACACTGTGTGTACAAACAATTTAAATATATCGACTCTTCTTTTTCCTCTAATAACGTGCCTTACACTAGAATTATTCTGTCCTGCAACAGTATCTTGTAATCTCGGCTTCTCAGGATGGGATGTATCTTTGAGCAATGCAAGTAGACCATAGGATAGAGAACGTGAACCACGCAATCCTTTGTGAATCGAAAGCGTTTTTGAAATTCTTGGTTCCTATAATGCTCCAGCGGATTCGACCTATCACGAATATACCTCCTTGGTAAATGAAGTAGAGGGGTTGAGGACCTCTGGGAGTGCTCACCCGATTCAAATAAATCACGTTCTGCCATTTTCACTTATATTTATCACTGCAATAAGCATACGATATAAAAAGTCGACTACAAATTTCAAAGTTGAACTGATGTTTAAATCGGTTGACTCAAGAGCGGATGTGGAGGGGGCACGGAACGAAACAAAGAAACCAGCATAGCCTCAAAGAGATGCAATATCACGTCCTACCCTATTTGATAGAGATGGACGGTTATTGATAAAAATCCAGTTGTGGATTAATCGGATATTTTTCTAAAACTTACATTGACAAATTTAGACGTCGGTACAGAGGGGAAGGTGGTAAGTATTAGAGATTGAAATATGAATACGGGGGTTTAACCAGGATGCCTATATGCATTACAGTTAGAAAAGAAATTGAACTTTCTGATCTAATAACCGCACATTATAAAATAACGTGTTGAACAGGCCGATCTAAGAAACCGGTTATCCGAATAACAAGTTATCTTTGCCCATCCCTACTAACTACCTACTATTTTGATTCATGAATAGATATAGGAGGTTAAACTTTATGGATTAAACTGCGTAGGGGATATATGTTTCCGTATGAAGCCAATCCTTTCTTTCTCGTCAGATAACCATTTGATTCGTAACGTTCAATTCGACTCTCGGTCGAAGCACAAGTACCGAGCTTTAGGCAGTCAGGCTGGTGGAACATGTACCCAAAGGATTCACCCTCAACTTGAGTACCTGCATCTTGCTGTTGGATGTCTCAAAAACCTTTGACAACGTGTGGCATGCGGGTCTCCTCTATAAACTAATACAAAATTGTTTCTCTTTTTCGCTTCTAACATCCTGCGTCGAAGGAAGTTTCAGATCAAATTTAACGTTTTCTCAAGGTTCGGCCCTAGAACCAATCCCTCGCTCGCTTTTTACTCAACAACCGTGGTGTGACGACACTGCGTACTGGTACTGGTAATCTGGTTCTCGTCAGATTACAAGATGCAAAGGAGGAAGTACTAGAGTGGGCGGAACGATGGCTGATTTGATTAAAAGTAATCATTCGAAAATATAGGTATTGTAGCAGAAAACGTCGCGGTCCCCACTCGAGGTTTCGGCAGACGGTAGTCGTATACAATGAAAAAATTCTGTCATGAACCTCAGGGTCACCCTTGACAATGGCTTGACCTGGCAAAAACATACAGCAGCATTGAAAACAAAATTTCAAATTACTTTCCACAACTATATCCCTTGATATGTAGCAAAGCAGTTTGAATAAAAGTTATTATTCTTTTTTTAGTGTTTCTTTTTTCATACAATGTTTTTATTCTTCCTGGGCACAGTTTACATGAATTATTCCCTTTTATAATTAGAAAATAATTGGGAAAACATTTAATGTTTCCTTACTAGCTTTGGTGCATATAGTTTACAACACGATCTAATAAATAAGAAACGTTCTTTGAGTTGTTCGAGTTCCAGCAGCCTCTGAAAACGTATTTATATCTGAATAACCGTAAAGTTTTAACTAACTTTGGTGCATAGTGTCCTCTTATTTTTTAAGAGTTAGATTTTGTTAAACATGCAACTGGACGTACCTAACTAGACTGTCCATTAGCTTATTTCATATGAAAATGGATTTTGCTCTTTAAAGAATCTGCCCCTTTATCCAAAGGTTGACAGTCTACACTATTTAAATTCTATAAGTAAGAAAAGTACTATCACACTTATTATTATATTTTTGTCTATTATTAATGTATAGCAGGGTTGAACTTCAAACCAAACTGAATTCATATACGCAGAATATTCAAATATTTGAAATTTACAGATTGAACTTAATTATATGTATATTTTTGAATGATGGTAAACAGGTTACATTATTTCCAAAAAATAAGCATTTTTCATTATCTCCATTAACCATACAAAGTTATATACACCTTAGGAAAAAACATTGTTATACATGGGAAATCATTTCTTGGCAACAGCGCATCGGCTCGTCTACTTTCATCGCTATTCGTACATATTTCCAACCGTTAACCGCAGACCTGTATTACGAATGAGAATAATAGGCAGATACGCTGTGTTGCCAATTTGAGTAGAGCTTCCCGAATTGTGGGGAATTTAGAGTTAAGTGTTGATTCATTCAAGCTTTTAACCAGCATGGCCTAGACGTTAGAACTTCATAAAGATAACATTGAAGCTGAATGCTGCTGGAGTATAGTGTTTCGAATATTCAAAGCGGAGCGGGACACTATACTCGTTCAATGGGTCATCAAGCCACAGTCTTTTCAACAAAGAAATTATTTTCGAAAATGCGTTATATTTTTACGATTTTGTCGTCACCAAATCTCTGTTTCTCAAAATGTACGTCTATTGTAGAATTTTCAGCAAACTAAGCAAGAAACGTGATCTAGTATTTACTCAACATTACGGATTTCTCGAAATACATTAAAAAATGTGACCTAGATACCTAACTGCCCCAAGCTCTTTAAATATAACACCTTAAACCAGGGTTACCAGGTGCTCAGTCACGTTGATTGTCGTGTTGTACTGCGCAAGTCAGCAAACAATCTGACATAATAAACGTTAGGAATCATCAGGTATTGCCAGATTCCCGAATACCGGGCACCATAGTAACCGTTATAGTTGTCCTTCAAAGTTGTCAAATCGCCCCTATGGCGCAAATTCGCCACACCAGGCAACTGTGCTATAAACAAACCCTGTTTATCACTACTATTTGATAGTCATATGGTAGTTGTAGCCCTATCTAGCGGTCCATGATTTCTCTCAATACTGTTGTATCTCTACTGGCAACAAGAATAGGGATTACAAAATCATTTATACAACAATATACAAACATGAAAAATATGATTTGAACCATGAAACATTAATACAATTTTAATAGTTTGAACTTTTTTCATTTTTGGAATACTCTTATGTGGAATCCGCAGCTATTTTTCCCGAAATTTGGGTAGACTTAGATTTCTTAGAAATATGACATATTGGTATCGGCAACTCTGCGAATGGGAGAAACAAATCGCATTTGTTGAGCGCGTCAGTCTAAGCGGTAGGCGCCAGCGCCCGTTCTGCCATCTCTCTCTTTTATCACTCTTCTACTTTACCCCGTTGTCCGTCACACTCCGACGCTGCCACATAGGATCCTACAATCGAGTGTCTTTCACGCACCTACATACTTTTGTATATTTCCATCTCTCTTCCTCATCATAATGTATAATAATGTTTTTTCCCAAGGTGTATATGTTATATGCACTCAAAACAATGGACTTACTATTCCATACAATGTTGCACCAGACGCTAGCTCAGCAACAGATAGCGACTTCTCGCTAACTCGTTGTTTACGCTTTATTTTCTAGAAGTGCTTTGTAAGCACACCAATAGTATAAATAGGCCTTGCGCCCACTTCATGTTGTTCAATGATATAACAATTGGTGTCAGAGAAGTGGGTTAGCTTCAACGCATTAGAACACACGCGAACGCTCACTAGTGTGGTGGATGTCTATCCTTCGAGCTACAAAGGACCACGAGCCTACAAGTAAGAAGAAGAAATAAGAAGAAAGAAAACGACGAAAAAGAAGAAAGAAAAGGGCACAGCAAGCAGCAGCCACCCAACTGCAGAGAGTCTACTTGGAAACATCGAAAGAGATCCGAGAGCCTCCTCTGGAGAACACTACTGCCTCCTGATGTACCACTGGTAACGTACAATTGAATCTACTGTCGTTTGCAATTATCTCTGTATTTTTCTATATTTTTGCGAATTTATTGAGTGATATTCATATTTTGCGCAACATTTTCTATATTTTTCACATTTACTTACGACCTTTTACGTATTTTCTAAAACTTTTACGTATTTCCTCATATTTATTCGTATATTTTGCGTACTATTGTCGAACTCCTGAAACATATTTCCAATCACCATGTCAGAGCACGGATCAGATGATTACCAAGCACCTGAAGTTCTTGATAACGCTCATGCAAACATCGAGCCTTATAGACTGTCCGAAATATTTTCAATTTTCCCTGAATACGATGGCAACCCGATATCGCTTTCGACTTTTATCAACGCATGTAGAACAGCGCACCAAATGGCCGTCGAGGAACAGCGTCTCCTCGTCGTCCTACATATAAAAAACAAACTCCGCGGACGAGCAGCAGAACTCGTCAATTCCCGTAACCCTTCGACATGGGAAGACATACGCTCTCTCCTTGAAACACATTTCGGAGATCTTCCAGATCTCACATCCTTAATTGCTAATCTGCAGCATATGCGTCATGAATCCCCACTAACCTTTGCATCAAGACTTCAAACTCACGCGGCGAAGATGCATTCAGCCGTCAATCAACAAAACATGAACCGAGAGCAGAAAGCTGCTCAAAGTTTATTGATAGAGACCATGACTCTAAACTGTCTCCTTACAGGACTAGATTCCAAAATTGGCCCGATTGTAAGATCTGGTCACCCAACAGATATCCTTACTGCAGTCGCTTTTATCAAGCACGAACTACAATTATCATATCTTGAAAGACAAACATTTTCTAGAGCTTCTAACTCTAATCAAAATTCTTCCATTAAGAAACCAGGTCCGAGAGTGTGCAATTTCTGCCACCGACCAGGTCATTTAGCAAATGAGTGCCAGCGAAGACAACAGCTCTCACAAAATATTTTTCCAGCCCCAATCATTTCGCCTCGAACTAACCCTAACCCTCAAACACAAAACAATAGGCCCCCCATTTCCAATCAGTACCATCACAGACAATCTGTTATTAGGCCAAATGTTCCGAATACTAATGTACCAAGACCTTCTGTTATACAACAGAATCCGAGCTTCCAAAACCCTAACTTCCAAAGAAGCTTCCGACCAAGCAATTCCACAAATCGAATCAACTACGTAGCCCCAGATTGCTACGAATATTCCGAGTACCCTGAACCCGACCTTTACAATACAAATTATGCGAGCGAGTATGGTACAGAAACCCAATACCCTGCTTACACCCCCTCGCAGTATGACGAATTCCCTGACCCTGGTAGCAATAACGATTTCTGTTACGAATACGATGATGCCGCTGATTATAACATGCAGTATCAGGATTTTCGCGAACGTTCTCCGAAAGAAGAACCGCCTGTGAAGCCCAACGACGATTCCGATCATATGATTGCGAGCTTGCAAAAGCTCAATGTCAAAGACCCTCATACAACGTCAACTCCCGACCAAATGTTCGTTTAGATAAACATATTATAGTCCCGTCGACAATTCTCTCCGTCAGCACAAACAACTTATACTACATCAACGACGCGACAGGAAAATTCAAAATCCTTATTGACAGTGGTGCCGGTTGTTCCATTTTCAAGCGAAACACCTGCCAAAATTACACGAAACGTGTTGCCGAAAATATCTCCATCCGAGGTATTACGGACGAAAAAATTTTTATCACAGAAGCAGTTTTAGTTCCCTTTGCTCCCAACGATTAGCACAAAATTTATATTCACGATTTGGTTCAGATTTCCTCGAGCACTAAGATTGCATTATCGATTTGAAAACTCGTCAATTAATCACAAAGTTCAAAACCATCCCTCTTTTCAAAGTAGGTGATGAAGAAAATACCCAAAATTCTGATTTCGAAGAAAATCTCCAAACTTCTAATTTCAAAGAGAATTCCCAAGTTCAAAATGTCATCTCAGTCCCTCCTAGAGTTGAACAGGTTGTCAAGCTTAAGTCAGAGCTTAAAAATACCGAAGCCATTCTTCTGGCATGCGAGGTAGAAAAAGTCCGTCTACCCAGCTCCATCGTTAAAATCAATTCTAACGGCGAATTTCTCACTACAGTCTTGAACTGTAATGCCATTCCTAAAAATGTGATTCTGCCCAAATTAGAATTTGAAGCCTTTAATGAAACGTCTGTAAACAATTTTAACATATCCCTGAAGAACAAGAGTCAGTATAACCGTAGAGATGTTATTCGAGATCAATTACGTCTTGAACATCTTAACGATGAAGAGAAAGAACTCATTACCAACCTTTGTCTAGAATTTTCCAACATTTTCTATTTAGATGGGGATAGTTTGTCATTCACCAACGAAATTAAACATTCCATTGACACTACAACCAACAAACCAATTTTTACTAAGTCTTATCGCTACCCTCATGTCCATAAACAAGAAGTGAAAGACCAAATTTCCAAACCGTTAAAACAAGGGATCATTGAACCCTCGAGTTCACCTTGGAATGCCCCTGTCTGGGTAGTCCCAAAGAAAATGGACGCTTCGGGCAAACAAAAATGGCGTATGGTGATCGATTACCGTAAACTTAACGAAATCACCATTGACGACAAATACCCGTTGCCAAACATTTCCGATCTGCTAGATCAATTAGGGAAATGCCAGTACTTCAGTACTCTAGATTTGGCATCTGGATTTTACCAAATTGAAATTATTAATCCAGCCGATGTTGCCAAAACCGATTTTTCAGTTGAGAACGGACACTATCAATTCTTGAGAATGCCTTTTGGTCTCAAGAACGCTCCTGCCACATTCCAACGTGTTATGGACAACATCTTGATGGGTATACAAAACGAAAGATGTCTTGTATACATGGACGATATCATTGTCTATTCCCCTTCCATCCAAGAACATATCACCAGACTTTCCGAAACTTTTAAACGTCTCCGAAACTCGAATTTTAAGATTCAGCCAGATAAGTGTGAATTCCTCAGAAAGGAAGTAGCCTATCTTGGTCACGTAATAACCCCTGATGGCGTTAAGCCCAATCCAGATAAAGTGGATTGTATAAAAAAAATTTCCCACAACCCAAAAGTCCTAAAGAAATAAAATCATTCTTAGGTCTTGCCGGTTACTACCGACGCTTTATCCCAAACTTTGCTAAAGTTGCGAAACCCTTGACCAGACTATTGCAAAAAGATGCAGTCTTCGATTTCGACATTGAGTGTGTTAAGTCATTCGATACCTTGAAAAATGCTTTAACAACATCTCCTGTACTGATCTACCCCAACTTCGAAGAACCGTTTGTGCTTACTTCGGATGCAAGTGCCTTTGCAATATCCGGCGTACTTTCCCAAGGACCTATTGGTAAAGATCTTCCGATAGCCTATGCATCTCGTACACTGTGTAAAGCAGAGACGAAGTACTCTACGATTGAAAGAGAACTCCTAGCTATTGTTTGGAGTGTAAAACATTTTAGACCCTATTTGTACGGTCGAAAATTTAAATTGGTCACAGATCACCGACCATTAACTTGGCTTTTTTCTTGCCGTGATACCGGTAGTAGGTTAGCAAGATGGCGTCTCAAGTTAGAGGAATACGACTATGAAATAATCTACAAGCCAGGCAAAGCCAACAAGAATGCCGATGCCCAATCCCGCATTAAAATTCCACTTCTACTCAATTTTTTTAAAATGAATTTGATGTATTTGCCCGCCTTTATAAAACCACCTCTTTAATAGACCAAAATTCAATTTTCTAACTCCCAACTTCTAGACAAAAGCCACAAACACATAGTCACATTTTTCAGACAAAACACCCTTTCTGATCTTCATGAAAAAATCATCGAAGATATATTTGAAACCAATCTCGAATTTTCCGCAGACAAAATTAACATCGCTTCTAGTCAGACTGTCAAAGACAGGAAATATTATATAATTCCCGTGCCGTACGATCCTGCGACTTGCGTACAACATCTCTTCACCCTTATTTTAAATAACAAAGGTATATTCGATTTGTCCCAACAAATCTACGTCGAAAATAACCTAGATCTGCCCATCCAAGAAATATTTTCTTTCATATTTTCCGACGAAAATATCAAAATTGTCATTTGTCAGAATGTAACTAAAACTCCAAGCCCTGATGAAATTCCAATCATTTTAGACCAATACCATTGTGGTAAGAAAAATATCTACAGAGGTATTAACGAAACTATCAGACGTATCCGTGAACGATACAATTGGCCCGGTTTGACTAAAGATGTCGAACATTTCATCAAGAAATGTGAAATTTGCCAGAAAACTAAAATCTGCCGAAAAAACCTTAGTACCCCTTTGGTCGTTAAAGAACTCCAAAAGCCCCATTTGAACGCATCAATATTGACATTCTAGAAGTCCCGCCTCAGTGCTATGCTCTTACAATCCGAGATGAACTTACAAAATTTTCCCAAGCCTACCCTATTAACGACAAGTCTGCTAAATCTGTCGTGAACACACTTCTTTTTTATTTCTAACATTACGGTACACCCCTTCGAATACATTGCGAATATATTCGACAACGCTCTTATGAAAGATATCTGTAGTCTTTATGATATCAAGATGACATTCTCTAGCGTCAGTCACCCCCAGTCCAATGTATCGATGGAACGATTCCATGCCACTGTATTGGAAATGATTAGAACGCAAGTATCTGAAAATCCGAACGAACACCCCTTTAATATCCTACAATATGCTGTTCCGTGCTACAATAGCACAAGGAACAAAATCACAGGATTTACTCCCTACGAACTTGTCTTCGGACATACATCTGGTCGTCCCCCAGAACACGTCTACCTTGAAAAGGAATTGATGTCTAAATACCTTCGAGATATTCGGAATAAGCTCGAATATTATTATAAAATAGCCCATGCCAGAACGGACGAACAAAAGCAAAAGGCTAAGGTTCGTTTCGATAACAAAGTATCACCGAACCTCCAAACGTACAAAATTGGTGACAAAGTCTTTGTCAAACAGTCCCAAATTTCCAATAAGTTTCAAAATAAATTTGACGGACCATATGAAGTCATTCAAGTATTTGAAAATTCGGCATTGCTCAAAAATCCAGAAACAAACAGAACAACTAAAGTCAATTTCGACAGACTGAAACCATGTTTTGAGACTTAGTTTTTCTTCCAGGTGCAGTCTGCTGTTTCTTGCGGCTGTTTGTACGGCCCAAATTGACATCAACCCCATTAACAACACACTAGGTATTTACTTCCACGAAGATGGCCCTCTCAAAATTTCTAACGAAGTTTGGACACTACTCGTGATCTTGAACTAATCAAAAAGACGCTCGACAATAACAATAATATCCTGGAACACTTAACCGCTCTCGTAAATGAACCTACTGATCGCATGAAAGTATTTAGAAGTGAAATTAAGACACATACGAGCCTTCTCTACCAAATTTCCCGTTCCTTGAAAACCAAATATTACGAAATTTTCGACGATACAACTAGCGCATCGCGAATGAAACGTGGCCTAATTAATGCCATAGGTACAATTTGGAAAGCAATAACAGGTAACCTTGATTCATCTGATTGTGAATATTATAACGACTGCATTAACAAAATTTCCAAAGACGAACATGAGCTTGAAAACCTGATGAAAAATCAGATCTCAGTAACCATGTCGGTTATTAAGAACTTCAATAATACTATCCAGAAACTGCAAATTGACGAAGCCACTTTTAACGAAGACATAAAGGTTATTCAAAATAGAATTTATGAAATTTCAGATGATCTTGCCTTTTATGAAGCTAGATTTCAATTTTTGGAACTTTGCGAACAACTAATGGAAAGTTTTATGTTTCTAGAAGAGACAATTAACGATATTCTCAATTCCATTACTTTTGCACGTTTGAAAATTATTCATCCTTCAATAATTACTCCTCAAGATTTAGTAAATTCTCTTCAAGAAATCTCTCATTCCTTATCAAAAAACAATTTACCTATGCCAGTCAATTTGGCAACAGTATCAGAATATCTGAATTTAATGGAACTTCAAGCATTTCAAACAAAGACAAAAGTAGTTTTCGTCCTACGCATCCCCTTGTTAGAACCTAAAATTTACACTTTATACAAAGCGATTCCTCTACCCATTGTAGATGAACGTACAGGTCTATTTCATGTAATTTCTACATTACAGAGATACGTTGCCAAAGATAGCGATTCTCTTTTGTACGTCTCCTTTCAAAATCTGGGTAGTTGCAAAATTCTCCAATCACAGGTTAAGATCTGTTTTAACCTCTTACCATATCCAATAGACAATAATGCAGTCTGCAAAGCACAATTGTTGCGAAATCCGGTCGATCTGCCAGCAACATGTCAAATAGCCATTGTGGGTCTGCAGGATTATAAAATCCAGGAATTAGCAACCAATTTTTTGGTTGATTAGCATATCTAGCCCGCTGCCCATCACAATGAAATGCGGACAACATGAAACAACTACAAAGGTGATCAAAGCTAATACACTTTTGAAAATGCAGCCGGAATGCAGTGGATTCATAGGCACTACAAGGCTTCATGCCAGATATTCTGTTAACGCTTATAAGAATATCACTTATAAAAGCCACCCTGTAGAGATACCCTACGAATGCTGCAACCATCTCCCTGATAAACAAAATTTGCCGAACCTGAAACCGATCAAGCTAACCAAGATCGATACAGAAGAGCTAGAGATCGCAAACCACAAGTTGAACCAGTATTCTGAACAACTTGATAAACTTATTAATGAGCCTTTTGTTTCACGACATACCTCCTGGTTTACGTACGTCGTCATAACCCTGCTAGCTGTTATCTTAGCCCTCTATATCTTCTGCAAGTGCAGGAAACGCCGACCACTCAGTATTTGTGCATCAAATTACCCAGCTGATGGACCGTCACCAGGAACGTCGAAAGTCAGATACATCCCCAGACTTTTTCCACGTCGAAGACCAACCATCCAACCCCATGAAGAAGAAATTGAACTTCAGTGAGTGAAAAGTTCCAATTGTGAAAAATCAATTTTCCTTCTCATTTTTAATGACATTTTTGTACGCCTTGCTTTTAACGTTTGTTTCAGCATTTACTTGTTTATGCTAACAATTTTATTTTTCAGAATCTATATTTTCTGATGTTATTTTGCAATTTGTATTTTGCAATTTTATTACTCCAACTTTTATATTTTTATATTTTACAATGTTTACAATTTTACGTTTCTACATATTTACATTTTGAATTTTTACATCTTTTACACTTTTCTAATTTTGTCAAAAGTTGTCGCATGGCAACAACTTTTTGTAATAGGGGGAAGTTGTTATATGCACTCAACACAATGGACTTACTATTCCATACAATGTTGCACCAGACGCTAGCTCAGCAACAGATAACGACTTCTCGCTAACTCGTTGTTTACGCTTTATTTTTTAGAAGTGCTTTGTAAGCACACCAATAGTATAAATAGGCCTTGCGCCCACTTCATGTTGTTCAATACCCGGTTAGACTCCGTCAAGTCAAGTAATTGTAAACGTTTGTAACGGACAGTAGCTACTGTCCTCAAATAAATTTAAAAAAAAATAAAGTTGAATTTAAATGATATAACATATACATATATACTGATATAGGCATTAAAGGTTTTTTTTAAAATGGGAAGCTGTAATGAAAATGTATCGTATCAAAACTGCAAACTGTTAATTTCAATTATTTGAATGTTCCGTGTATAAATTATGTGTATAAATTGTGGTTTTTAGTTCCTGTTGACAATGCAGACTACAAAAGAAAAATATTCGTCAAAAACAAAAGCTTCAGCTGCTGACCATGATAAACAATACAGCAATGTGGTTGGAAAGGAGAAAAATGATGCAGTCAGCCTCAGGACAAAAAAAAAGCCTTGAATCGAATTGCAGAGAACTTCAATTTTCAATGTTTTCTAAAGAACTTTGTATGGTTAATGGGGATAATGAAAAATGCTTATTTTTTGGAAATAATGTAACCTGTTTACCATCATTCAAAAATATACATATAATTAAGTTCAATCTGTAAATTTCAAATATTTGAATATTCTGCGTATATGAATTCAGTTTGGTTTGAAGTTCAACCCTGCTATACATTAATAATAGACAAAAATATAATAATAAGTGTGATAGTACTTTTCTTACTTATAGAATTTAAATAGTGTAGACTGTCAACCTTTGGATAAAGGGGCAGATTCTTTAAAGAGCAAAATCCATTTTCATATGAAATAAGCTAATGGACAGTCTAGTTTGGTACGTCCAGTTGCATGTTTAACAAAATCTAACTCTTAAAAAATAAGAGGACACTATGCACCAAAGTTAGTTAAAACTTTACGGTTATTCAGATATAAATACGTTTTCAGAGGCTGCTGGAACTCGAACAACTCAAAGACCGTTTCTTATTTATTGGATCGTGTTGTAAACTATATACGCCAAAGCTAGTAAGGAAACATTAAATGTTATCCCAATTATTTTCTAATTATAAAAGGGAATAATTCATGTAAACTGTGCCCAGGAAGAATAAAAACATTGTATGAAAAAAGAAACACTAAAAAAAGAATAATAACTTTTATTCAAACTGCTTTGCTACATATCAAGGGATATAGTTGTGGAAAGTAATTTGAAATTTTGTTTTCAATGCTGCTGTATGTTTTTGCCAGGTCAAGCCATTGTCAAGGGTGACCCTGAGGTTCATGACAGAATCCAACAGCAAGATGCAGGTACTCAAGTTGAGGGTGAATCCTTTGGGTAGATGTTCCACCAGCCTGACTGCCTAAAGCTCGGTACTTGTGCTTCGACCGAGAGTCGAATTGAACGTTACGAATCAAATGGTTATCTGACGAGAAAGAAAGGATTGGCTTCATACGGAAACATATATCCCTTACGCAGTTTAATCCATAAAGTTTAACCTCCTATATCTATTCATGAATCAAAATAGTAGGTAGTTAGTAGGGATGGGCAAAGATAACTTGTTATTTGGATAACCGGTTTCTTAGATCGGCCTGTTCAACACGTTATTTTATAATGTGCGGTTATTAGATCAGAAAGTTCAATTTCTTTTCTAACTGTAATGCATATAGGCATCCTGGATATACCTCCGTATTCATATTCCAATCTCTAATACTTACCACCTTCTCCTCTGTACCGACGTCTAAATTTGTCAATGCAAGTTTTAGAAAAATATCCGATTAATCCACAACTGGCTTTTTATCAATAACCGCCCATCTCTATCATGGACATGATATTGCATCTCTTTGAGGCTATGCTGGTGTCTTTGTTTCGTTCCGTGCCCCCTCCACATCCGCTCTTGAGTCAACCGATTGAAACATCAGTTCAACTTTGAAATTTGTAGTCGACTTTTTATATCGTATGCTTATCGCAGTGATAAATATAAGTGAAAATGGCAGAACGTGATTTATTTGAATCGGGTGAGCACTCCCAGAGGTCCTCAACCCCTCTACTTCATTTACCAAGGAGGTATATTCGTGATAGGTCGAATCCGCTGGAGCATTATAGGAACCAAGAATTTCAAAAACGCTTTCGATTCACAAAGGATTGCGTGGTTCACGTTCTCTATCCTATGGTCTACTTGCATTGCTCAAAGATACATCCCATCCTGAGAAGCCGAGATTACAAGATACTGTTGCAGGACAGAATAATTCTAGTGTAAGGCACGTTATTAGAGGAAAAAGAAGAGTCGATATACGAGTATTTAAATTGTTTGTCCACACAGTGTTTTGTTTGTAGAGCTTCTAATTTTGAAAGTAACATACAATATTGTTAACATCATGATGAAACATTTGTTTTAAGAGAAAAGAAGAATTACAAATTGATGAAATCTGTGTTTCCATATATTTCTGAAAGAACCTATTATATTTCTAAATAAATATTGACAAATACTTGCCATCTGAAAAGTATAATACATGAATACATGAAATTGTTAATGAACTCATACGTAGTATGTCAAAACGTAAGTATCACCACACAATGATGACTTTATATCCAAAAGTTACAACTAATTATGAATATGTATGTAGCCAAAAAAACAATATATCAAAAATGAAAAACTACAATAACCTTTATTCATTTTTAATTTACTTACATAAAATATACAGGGTGTTTTCCAATTGAATGTCTATATTTAAGGGGGTAACTGAGTCCATTTTAAGAAGAATATTTCATATGACTTTGAGAAACAGAGTGTAATAAAATTTTTTGTAAAGATCTGGAATACCACTTTAAATACTTTATCAAAGTTTGGCATACATGTACATCGAGAGGTATTTGTAATGCAACATTCTTTCAATTCGCACCAGTGGCGTTCGTACGAATTTCACTTGCCTATTTTGGCAGACATTTCTCTTAAAATAAAAATAGCTCTTAAAATCATCAGCGATTTCTGAGCAAATTTTATGAAATTGAAATACTGTTTCTTTGTATGATCCTAATATCGTTAGTATCCCCCCCCTTCTCCCCTACATCAGATTAGTTTGTATTAGTTTGTTGTTTTTACTTACTCTTTCATGTTTTACTCTAACTGACCTGTGCAAACACTTTTTCGTGTAATAGTACCAATAAGTTATTATTAATATACAGGGCTCGTTCGAAGAGCATTTGGTAGCAAAATAGAATACAATAAATTTTACTTTTATGCGAAAAACGAGGGTTACGTTTTTTCTTCTAAACAAAAACAAACATTTCGTATTTCTGAGTAATTGGACAAAAGTGCAAAGACATTCGAAAAATATACGTTACTATATACATTTTTAAACAAAGCGTATGTGTCTACCATCTTTTGTTGCGAATTACTCGCAAATACGAAATGTTTGAATCTGTATAGAAGAAAAAACGTAACCCATCTTTTTTTTTGCATAAAAATAGCTTTTCTCTTCCGGAATGGTTTGCGATTCATATCGGCAAGGTAAACTAGAGTATTTTGCTATAAAATGCCCTTTGAACTAACCCTGTATATTACTCAATAAACTATTATTGACGGGCGGTAAGCAGGTGTTTTGGGACAAACATTTAGAAATTCTCAAAAACTACTTAACCAATCTACACCAATTTTGTTTTGGTTATTTAGAAGTAGGAATCCTACCAGTTTTGCGAATTTTAAATATCTGCGAGAAATCATCATCGCATTATCAACAAGTGCCAAAACCTGCAGTCTGTCTTTGTTTTCCGCCATAACCTTTTTGCTATTTGTCGGATCTCTTCATGTGTAGTCTCATTTTGTAGGTCTCATAAAAATCTAATACAAAGAGTTTTTTCGGTCCTGTCAGCACTTTTGATTGAATCCCAAAAAACGCGTTTTCTCATTCGTCGAATATATAGTTTTCCCACGAGGTTTGGTGTACCCATTGTATGCATCCATGTTTTGAAAACCCCCTTGAACAACTTGCAGCAATAAAACCAGACCTTACAGTTATTTCGCAAACCAGGGATACTTTCGTCTAATATGATTAGACTAGAACATCCCCGCTCCCAAAAGGGAATCTAGCCCCCTTAAGTAACAAGCAAGTATGAGGTTACCTGTCGATCTTTTACTGTACCATACGTCACACTCGTCAGAAAACGCCAATAGCACACCAAAAACACATGAGTTCATTGCTATGCAATCTCCGACAATGTTTGCAAATGCAAACATTGTTTACGGCAGGGGTGTTACGTAACTTGAAATGTCGCTTTTTGACGCCAACTTGGAACTAAAGGGCTGGTTTCTTTTTTTAAATTGGTATCAAAACTACACTCTTCAATAATATGTGACACTCGATACTTCAACCCCCTACTGAGCGAGGGCCGTGGCAAATGCTTGTTCCGAAAGTCATTGTATCCAGTATACAACTTCTTCCCGTCCAAGTGATTGCGCACGCGTTAAGGAATACCTCAGTACCGATTGCCGGGTGGCGGTACAAGTCCGCCAACGGGCCACTTTAGGTCTATTTAACATCACTAATACGTAAAAAGAAGGTGGTAGACAAGGACCAGTCGACCGAGGCAGTACCACCCGCTAGCTTTTCCCAGGGTGTCTCATAAATGTCCGCATGCCGCCACACCTAAGCTATGCAGTCGGTTATCTACCAAAACAAAGAAATTAATGATGATGGATCCCTCGAACACTAAAAACTCCGGACGTAAACTCACTCCACTCTCGGAATGTCCGGGTGGAGGGTGGGCTCGAGGGAACAACATCGAAGATAAAATTTGTTTTTCGAACATCTGCGGGATCAACAGCAACATTGATGCTGTTCATCACTACCTGCAATCCAATCGTCCCGCCGTGCTTTTCTTGGCGGAGACAAAAATCTCAGAGGCTGCACCGATTAACCATCTCAACTTCCCAAACTACGAGGTGCACTCCAATCTGAGAAAGAACGGGGGAGTTGTGGCTTTTGTCCGCAGCAGTCTTTCCTGCTCCAGGGATCTTTCTTTGGAATCAGACCGGAAGGACATTCTGTGGCTTCGCCTCAACTCCAAAACATCACCCAAATTTATTTGCTGCCTTTATCGCGCTCCCTCGAACCATAACTGGGATGACCTACTCGAATACCTCGCCGTCCAGATCGACTTCCTCAACATCAATCACCCCGCTTCAGAGGTAGTTCTTCTCGGTGATTTCAATGCCCATAATGAGCTTTGGTTGGGCTCAAATAAGACCGATGCAGCAGGTCGTGCAGTCGAAGCGTTCGCTCTTACTCAAGGGCTGACCCAGCTGGTGACGAGCCCTACTTTTTTCCCCCGCGTCTCGTCACACGCCAGTAGCCTGCTGGATCTCTTTCTGACCACGCATCCTGCCCCTTACAGCACTGCCGTCCTGTCCCCCCTGGGTAACTCAGATCACGGTGTTGTGGAGGTTAGGTTTCGGTCAGAAGCCGCTGTGG